CAGGGCTGGAGAGATAGTGCAAAAGGTAGGACACTTGCCTTGCACACTGCTGACCCAGGTTTGATCCCAAGTATCCCACAGGGTCCCCCAAGCACCACCAGGAATAATTCCTGAGCACAAAGCCAGGAGTGACCCCAGAGAAACATCTAGTATGGGCCCAAAACAAAACAAAACAAAAACCCAAAATACCATAAATACATATATATATATATATATATATATATATATATATATATTTGGATCACACCTGACCATGAACAGGGGGTTGCTCCTGGCTCTACACTCAGGAATTAATTCTGGACCATATGGGATGATGGGAATCGAATCCAGGTCGGCCGCGTGCAAGGCAAACGCCCTACCAGCTGTGCTATTGCTCCAGCCCCAAAATACCATAAATATTAACACTATTATGACCCTGTCACCTAAACTACAATAAAAAGTTTAAAATATAAAAATACTGGGGAGACTAGAAAGACTAGAGAGAGTATAGCTAGCAAGGCTGTTGCCTTGCTCACAGCTGAGCCAGGTTAACAACCCCTGGCATCACATGGTTCCCTCAGTCCCACCAGGAGTGACCCCTGAGTGCAGAGCTGGAGGTAACTCCTGAGCATTTCTGGGTATTTCCCCAAAACAAAATAAAAGGGGGGATCTGGAGGGGTGGGGAGATAATTTAGAGCACTATGTTCTGCTTGGGCTGGAGCGATAGCACAGCAGGTAGGGCGTTCGCCTTACAAGCGGCCAACATGGCCGACCCGAGTTCGATTCCTCCGCCCCTCTCGGAGAGCCCGGCAAGCTACTGAGAGTATTCGATATGCCAGACACAGTAACAACAAAGTCTCCAATGGAAACGTTACTGGGCCCGCTCGAGCAAATCGACGATCAACGGGAGGGCCTTTACCTTTATGTTCTGCTTGCAGGAGCTCCAGTTTCGATTCCAGTTCATCTGAGCACTGCCAAAAGAGACCCATAGAGCTGGAAGCCCATCCCTGAGCATCAAAACAGGAATGACCTCAAAAGAAAACTTAAATAAATAAATAAGTGAGATCTAATATGTCTTCCAAGAAGCCCCAAGGAAGAGACGAGAAAAGTAAGTCCTTAGGAGGAGGAAGCAAGCATCTGGGGCATAGGGACAGGCTCTAATCAAAGACCTTGAGTCTGGAAAGGGACCCTGTGGAGCAGAAAGCCAGAGGACGAGCTGGGCTGGTGAAGTGGCCAAGCCCTAGACTCCACAGAGATCAGTGGACCAAGTTCTAGTACTAGCACTTTATCTCCAGGGCCTGAGAAAGTGGGTTTACATTTAAATTTGAAACTGATCATTCTGCTAGTGTATTGATGGAGTTACAACAGAGCTGGAGAGACCAAGGGAAGGGAATCACAATAGTCCTACTTTGAGACTGTAACAACTTATTGGGGGGGGGGGCACGGGGATGAGGGGAGTGCAGTGCTGGCTCTATGCTCAGGCATCACTCCTGGTGGTACTTAGGGACCATATGCTGTATGCTGTGCAGGGATCAAATTGGGGTTGTCTGAGTTGAAGGCAAGCACATTAACCCATGTACTAGCTCTCCAGCCTGAGATGGTAGCAAATTACGCTAGGAAGATGCTACAGAGGGGTAGGTGCTTCTTACCAGCTATGCTGGTAGCAGGATTGGATTAATTCGCTATTGTTATAGCATGAGCACTTTAAGAATTTACTAGATTGCTTTTTCGTTTGTTTATTTGTTGTTTTTTTGTTTTGGAGAGGCTTGAGAGTCATGTGGAGGAATCAAACCAAGGCCTTTCACGTGGACTAAGCCAGAAATCTTACTGGTCCCTCAATTTCAGTTTAGCACTGAGAAGCATAGTCAGAAGAACTATAGAATCCTCCAAATTGGGAAGCAGTCCAGGATGTTGTATAACTTATGCCCTGAGTGCCGCTGTGGGGAGGAAAAACCTCTAGAATTAGAGGTCCCCAAATTCTGGTTCTTTATCCTTATCGCTTAAGAAGCTCTGACTTCTGTTAAGATACCAAAATAGATCTAAGGTAGATCTCCTTCAAGTTCTAGTACATGTCTACTCTATTTTCCAGGAGGGCTCTACTTGGGGGACATCTCTTAGAATCTTTTTTGGGAAGAGATGGGGTTTTAGACACATCTGACAGTGCTCAGGGCCTATTCCTGGCTCCGTGCTTTGGGGATCTATCACTTCTGGCAGCACTCAGGGGATGGATCAGCTGCATGCAAAACAAGAGCCACACCTTCTATACTCTGTCAGAGTCTTGAGTCTGCCCAGTACTACCCAATAGATGTATACATTCTCCTATATAAGGTAAAGGTAAAGGCCCTCCCGTTGATCGTCGGTTTGCTCGAGCGGGCCCAGTAACGTCTCCATTGGAGACTTTGTTGTTACTGTGTCTGGCATATGGAATACTCTCGGTAGCTTGCCGGGCTCTCCTATATATACTTTTAAATCTGTACACAGATATTAGCAAGTTATAAAGATTGTCTTAATTTATTTTGTTTATTGAGAGAGCACCCCTGTAGGTGCTAAAGGGTCCTGGCAGTGCCAGTGATATCCCCCTCCCCCAGGCCCCAGCCCACACATGCAAAGCTGGGTTCCAACCTTTTGACCCATCTGCCTAAATCCAAAGGCTAGATTTTTTTGTTTGTTTATTTTGCAGTGCTGGAGATAAAACTGAGGGTGTCACACAAGCAAGGCAAATGCTCCTTTGCTGAGCCACATCCTTGTTCCTCCCTTGGATATTTTAATTGCATAGCCCTAGTGGGGAGTACCGCCTAGAAACTCTTTGAATTATTCTGAACTGTAAACCACTTTGAAAACCACTAAAATTGTGTGACTTTTAAGGCCATTAATACCAGAGATCACAACACATTATTTTAATTCATAATTTGGGGGGCGGCAAGATAGTACAGTGGGCAGGGCCTTGCACAAAGCCAACCAGGGTTGAATCCCTGACATTGCTTATGGTCCCCTAAGCTTCACCAGGACTGATCCTTGGCTACAGATCCAGGAGAAGGCCAGGTGAGTCCCAAAGTGGCCTAGGTGTGGCCCAAACCCCCCCAAAAAAGAAATTCATAATTTATATTTGTACAAGATTGTGCCAAGAATAAGCTTTGTACGGCAGTTTTGTCTTTTAGGTACTATGCCGGAGCAATAGTACAGTATTGTACTATTACTCTGGCCCCATGTATATGTTTTTTTTAATGTCAAAGTTTATGGTTTGTCCTATCATTTAATTTTTTTAAGTTTATTTTGGGAGATCATACTCAGCTGTGCTCAGAGATTACTTCATGTGCTATGTTCAGGGGAGCAAAGAAAATGCTGAAATGAAACCCAGGTCAGCCATATGCAAGGCTGCAATACCATCTCTTTGGTCCCTACAGTCTTAATGACTTCTGTCTTTCATTTTTATTTAAAATTACTTCTATACTAGTGTACCATCAAGTCTCCCCCTTTCTTAAATCCGTGGCTTTAATTAACCTCATATAAAGGCCCTCCCGTTGATCGTTGATTTGCTCGAGCGGGCCCAGTAACGTCTCCATTGGAGACCTTGTTGTTACTGTGTCTGGCATATCGAATACTCTCGGTAGCTTGCCGGGCTCTCCGAGAGGGGCGGAGGAATCGAACTCGGGTCAGCCATGTTGGCCGCTTGTAAGGCGAGCGCCCTACCCGCTGTGCTATTGCTCCAGCCCTTGTTAATTATCTAATTTATATGTTAATTATCTAATTTATATGTTATAAGTTTTTATCAATATTAACACATAAAAAATTGAAAGAAAGAGTGCTTTTCCTGGTTAGTTAACTGATTTATTCTCAGCTTTAACAGTATATACAATCCATATTATTCAATATATAAATATTTGTTAAATGGATAAAAAGTTGGTGCTGAAGAAGTGAGACTAACAAAGGAGTCAGCATGGTATAGAGCTAAGAATATATCTTTATTCATGTCATATCCAAGCCACTAGTGAGCGCTACCTCATTGTGGTTAATTTAATCCTGATAAAAGTCAAACTCCTTATCTCTAATACAAGACTATCAATATTTAGAGCAAAAGTTATAAGATTATAAGATAAGTGGTGTTTTATGTCTGTGAATTTTTACTCTTCCATCATACCAAATTCAGTGCTGTTATATTCTTCTCTATGTTATTTTATGTCTGAGAAATTTATGATTTTATTCATTAAAATTTAATATCTTATTCTTAAATAAATAAAATACACGTTCATGCTGGAAAAAAAAAGTTTATGGTTTGTTTCAGTACAAAGTCACTGTACCTTCACACTGCCATACCGCCAAAATGCCCAAGGCCCTGCATCACTGTCCTTAGGGCACTTCTACTTTGCCTCTTCCTCCTCTTCCTCCTCAGATTCCCTTTTAAATACCCTGAAAGCAGTCAGTCTTTTTCTTTGCAGTATGGACTCATGAGGAGTCCTCTGAATAGGCACTGAGGGATCTGTAGGAAGCAAAAGGAAAAGCAGGATCCCTGTTTTTTTTTTTTTTTTTGAGTCTCTAGTAAATTCTGGGGACTCATGATTAAATAATCAGGTGGATGATAGCAGGAGAATGTGTCAGTCAGGATGGCTGAAGGTAGAGTTGGAAAAGGTGGGTGTTAGTTAAGTGAACTGGGTTGGGGTTGGGGGAGAAATTTCAAGCAAATCTCATAGAAAGCAACTGAAGTTGGTTTGGATCTAGCAAAATGGTAGGCTCTTAGTAGAGAATGGATGAAAGACTGAGTGAACACTGACCTGCCGCAAACAGAACCACATACGACTCAGATGTCCCATGTCACAGCACAGGACTTATTCCTTCTAGTGCAGCACCAAGAGTTCCCAGAGTAGGTCTAACTGAATGGGGATTTGATGTAAGGGTTTGGCTAAATTATGGTCTTCCTTTTATTCCCATTCACAGCCGAACACGGTCCCCCAAACATAATCAGAATAGTTTTTGGGGTTCACCCACAGGTATTCAGGAGCTATTCCTGCACTCTGCTCCATGTTGCTCCTGGCCAGTCTCAGAAAATCAGGCAACAGTACTGAAGATCAAAACTGGGTGGGTCTCCTGTTTACAAAGCATGCACTCCTGTCCTTGTTTAGTCAACTTTTAAGAGAAAACATGGGGCCAAAAAGATATTAGAGTGAGTAAGTCTCTTGCTCTGCTCACAGCCCACCTGAGTTTGATCCCCAGCACCCCACTGCCCCCCCTCCCCAGTCTCCCAGCACTGCCAGGAGTGATTCCTGAGTTTAGAGCCAGAGCCAGGAGTAAACCCTGAGCGCCATCAGGTGTAGCCCTTCCCCCAAACAAAAGAAATTAAAAAGGAAAAAAAAAGTCATAGGCTGGGGGTAATGACTGGGGAGAAAATATTTCTCTAATCATTTCCCTCTGGGCCTACAAAAATGAAAAAAAAAAGAAAAGAAAGAAAAAGGAAAAGAAAAAGAGGGGGCAGCAATAGTGCAGCAGTTAAGGTGCTTGCCTTGCTTGTAACTAACTGGTTTCCATCAGGCACTCCAGATGGTCCCCGGAGCACCACCAGGAGTGATCCTTAAGCACAAAGTCAGAAGTAACCCCTGAGCACCAGTATGTGTGGCCCCAAAACAAAAATAAACAAATAGGGGCTGGAGCGATAGCACAGCAGGTAGGGCATTTGCCTTGAATGCGGCTGACCCAGGTTCGATTCCCAGCATCCCATGTGGTCCCCCGAGCACTGCCAGGAGTAATTCCTGAGTGCATGAGCCAGGAGTAACCCCCGTGCAATGCCGGGTGTGACCCAAAAAGCAAAAAAAGAAAAAATTTTTTAAATTAAAAAAAATAAAAAGAAGCACTACACAACCATTAGCTACTATATATATATTTTTTTGGGGGGGGGGGTCACACCTGGCAATGCACAGGGGTTACTCCTGGCTCTGCATTCAGGAATTACTCCTGGCGGTGCTCAGGGGATCATATGGGATGCTGGGAATCGAATCCGGGTCAACTGTGTGGAAAACAAACGCCCTACCATATTTACCATATTACTATCAAGGAGCTCCCAGTGGGATAAGCAAGGGTGGAAGAGAAAGAAATGAAGATGTAATAAGAGCTAAAAGGTAGGTGAACAGAATACTGACATCCACAGCCTAGACTGAATCCTAGTAGCAGGCAGGGCCCAGTCCTAGGTCATTCCGTTTTCTCTCTTATTATAAATTGGGGTCCGGATGCAAGGGGAGAGGGGTGGTAGGCAGACAAGGCTCCACAATATTGCAGTTTATAGGCTGAGTCAAGACTATTTCCTGCCTGACTTCCAGTGGCTCCGACGGCCTTCTGCAAACTCCACGCTCTCTCAGACTGCAGGGTGATGCAGCCTTGAGCCATAAGAGGGTATGTGGTGGGGGGACGGGGGTGGGGGTGGGGGAACCAGGCACGCGCGCGGGAACTACGCTTCCCAGCATGCAACGGGCTAAGGGAGCCTCACGGTCTCGAGCGGCGATTCGCAGGTTCAGCCGGGAGTTTTCATTGACCTCTAGCCCCCGGCTCCGGTCTGGCGGAGGCCCCGCCCCTTTCTGAGAGCGGGTGAGCGAGCCAGAATGGCGCGAGCTCTTTCCATCTCCGCCTCTCATTGGTCTAGCCTAGCTGCCATTCGGGAGCGAGGAGGAGAAGTTGCTCACTGATTGGTGGATTCCGTTTGGCGCCAACTAGGAAATGAGGGCGGGGCAGCGGCGGGTGCCAGAGAGCAGCTATTTACCGCGAAAGGCCACTTCGGCGGCGACAGCCCAGGAAGGAGGTGAAGGTCGCCCTGTTTGCTGCGACCCTGGCTAGGAAGTGGAAGAGACAGAGTGAAAAAGACGGAAACAGTGATCCTGGGCCGTTGCCTCGCGACTCTCCCTTCTCCTCTCCTCGACTTGCCGCGTTTGTTTAGATTTAATCTTGAGGTTGCCGGCGCCCGCCCGCCCGCTGGCCGCGCGGGCTGAGAGGGGACGCACCCGTGCATGTGGCCGGCGCCTGCCCGCTCCGCACCGCCACCCGTCCGCGCCGCGTACCGGCGTCAGCGGCAGCCCTGAACCGCGGGGTCGTGTTTGTGTTTGACCCGCGGGCGCCGGTGGCGGGGCGCGCGGCCGAGGCGGGTGCCGGCGGGGCGGGGCGGGGGCGGCGGAGGCGGAGGGAGAAGGAGCGAGAGCCCAGGGAGACCGGGCGCCGCCATGGAACTGGGCCCGGAGCCCCCGCACCGCCGCCGCCTGCTCTTCGCCTGCAGCCCCCCTCCCGCGCCTCAGCCCGTCGTGAAGGCCCTGTTCGGCGCGACGGCCGCCGGGGGCCTGTCGCCTGTCACCAACCTGACGGTCACCATGGACCGGCTGCAGGGGCTGGGCAGGTGAGGAGGGGGGCCGCCGGGACGGCTCTCTGGGGGGAGGATCTGGCCGGGAGAAGGAGGGGAGCTGCTCGCCCGCGGCCCCGCCGGCCAGGGCCCCTGCCATGTGCACCCTTCCCCCAGGCGGAATGTCGGGCGGGAGAGGCCGTTCCGATCCTCCAGGCTCCCCCTCAGCTCCGAGACGGGCCCGACTCCCCAACTGAGCTGCCCCTCCGGGCTTACCCCTGCTGCTACCCCAGCCAGCCCTTTGAAATCGAGGCGGGGTGGGGGGGTTGGTGAGGGGAAGCAGACCCTCCTAGGGCACTTGCTTCCAACCTTGGCTGAACCACCTCATGGGATCTTAGTTTCCTGTGAGCTTTGTTCCTCAACAAAGGGCCGTAGCGTTTTCCTTCCTGGCCTTTGTGCATAATCGTGGCGGTTCCTCGCCCAGGTTGCGTTCCGATGTCCATCCCATGCTTTCCTAAAAGCCGGGCATTTTTACTCGGCTTTGCATATTCGGAACCCTCCTGGACTTTTCCTTCTAGCAAAACATCCATCCCGCGGTGTTTCTGGAGAGGCCGAGGAAGCACATGTCATGGAACCTATTCTTGGAAGCAGGGAAAAGCAGCAGCATGGCCTTGTGTGGGTGTCTAGAGCACATCCTCCCACTTCAGGGGAAACCCCCCATGCTAGTGACCTTTCCTGCCCTGCAGTGCGATCCAGAGCGGCCACATCCCGGTTCTCAGGCACTAACTGCTGATCTAGACAACGTGTGGTCCGTGGTGAGGCCTAGAAGTGGTGGTGGCTGACAGCAGCCTCACTACTAGTTAATAGTAGCCTCAGAGGCCATACCCTCTCTATAACCTTTTCTTTATGGCTTTTGGGCCACACTCCCTATGCTCAGGTGGGCTTGGGTGACCATTTGGGGTGCCAGGGATCGAACCCAGGTTGGCCATGCGCAGGGCAAGCACCCACTGTGCTTACTGTTCTGGCCCCATGTCTGTAACCTTTTAGTGATGTTCTAAAAACAATTATTTCTTGATTTCAGTGAATATGAACAGCCACCGGAGGTGAGAAATAGCAGTCTTCAGAGAATGGGGTCCTCAGAGTCTACTGATTCAGGTAATCTTTTAGTCCCTTTTTAATTTTTTTTCTTGGGACTAGGGTGCAACGAGGTATGCTATGCCAGGTTCAGGGGACCATATGGTGTGCCAGGAAGTGAACCCGGGCCAGCTGTGCACAGGGCGAGCACCCTACCAGCTATACTATGGCTCTGGCTGCATTTTTTTTTCTTTTTTTTTTGGGTCATACCTGGCAATGCTCAGGGATTAATTACTTGTAGCTCTGCACTCAGGAATTACTTCTAGCATTGCTTGGGGGACCATATGGGATGCCAGGGATCAAACCTGGGTTGGCCACGTGCAAGGCAAACGCCCTACCTGCTATACTCTTGCTCTGACCCCTTTTTTTCTTTCATTAAAACAATTTTTGGGGGCTGGAGCGATAGCACAGCGGGTAGGGTGTTTGCCTTGCACGTGGCCAACCCAGGTTTGATTCCCAACATCCCATATGGTCCCCCAAGCACTGCCAGGAGTGATTCCTGAGTGCCAGGAATAACTCCTGTGCACTCCTGTGCATCGCTGGGTGTGACCTAAAGAACAAAAAAGGGGGGGGGGGCACTCCTGGTATGCTCTGCCTGGGGTTGAATCAGGATTTGTCTTAAATATTCCTAAGTATCTGTTGTGTGGGAAGCAGTACTTGGAATTTGCTGAAACTTGTGATATCACCTAGGAACTTAGTTTGTTGGGTATTAGAAGAAGGACAGAGAGAAGCCTTGGTATTGCACGACAAACATCCTTAAGAACTATGCCAAGATGGGCCTGGGAAAATTATGTTAGGCATAAAAAAGAATGTAAGGCACCTGGCTTTCAACCATACCTGAATTTGATCCCTAGCACCCTATATGGTTCTCAAACCCTGCCAGGAGTGATTCGAGTGGCCCAGTGACGTCTCCATTGTGACACATTGTATTTGGGATATTGAATATGTCACGGGTAGCTTGCCAGGCTTTGCCATGAGTGTAGAGCCAGGAATAAGCCCTGAGCACTACCAGCTGTGCCACTAGCCTCCCATAAAAAAGAAACTGTACAAAGAATGGCAGAGAAATAGCGCAGTAGAATACAGCACCAAGGCCCTGGCAAGAGTGATTACTTGAGCATAGAGTCAGGGGTAAATCCTAAGGCCCAAAACAACACACACACACACACACACACACACACACACAAATAAGAACTGCAAAGGACTCACTGCTAGTTTGTTGGCAGAAATAAAATGTACCAAGTGTCTGCAAGGAGGTTGTGTACTTGGTCTTGGGGATGAATTAGGGTAGTAAAGTGAACAGAATCACTTTTTCAAACCTAGGGCTTCTCTCATGCAAGGCAGGTTCTCTACCACCGAACCATATCTTTTGCTTAATCTTATCTCTATTAAATGACAGTCTGAAAATCTTAGTGGTTAAATGTAGGATCAAATTATTGAAAGCCTAATGAAATTATTGCAGTGAGCCTGCTAGGGATGAAATGTGCCAGTGCATTTTATTCTAATTCATATTACTGCTGGATTTATCTATGTTAGTATAGATGGAAATCATCCTGGGCACAAATTGCAGGTCTTCAAATGTAGGTTTTTTGTTCTCATTTTCCAAATGTGGGATCCTCATTTGTGTCGCATGGCACACGGTACTCTCAGTGAGGAGCTAATATTTCCAGTTTATAGGTTTATATAGACCTGGAGGAAGAATGTGTTCTAGACAGACAATTTGTTGTTTTTGGCTTTGGGGCCACACCAAGTGGTGCTTAGGGCTTACTCATGATTCTGTGCTTAAGCATTACTTCTGATGGGGCTCAAGACCATATAGGGTGCCCAAGATCAATCCCTAGTAGGCCAGGTACAAGGCAAGCACTTTACCTGCTGTACGATCTCTCTTTCCCCCTAAGCAGGCATTACTGAGACTGGGTCATGCTTAGCATGTCTTCCTGCTACCTTAGCTAAGATGGGTACCTCAGTTGGTGTTATTTTGTTCAAGGTAATCTATACTTGACTTTGCTTGTCCTGTGACTAATTAAATTTTCTAAAACCCCAAATAATTCAAGTTTTCTGATAAAACATTTAAAATTAAAACTATTAATTTCAATAGTTTCAAAAACAATTAAAATAAAACTATTCTAGAGGGGCAGCATGTTTCTTGGAGCACAGAGCTAGAGTAACCCCTAGCATCACTGAGTGTGTCCCAAGTGCTTTTTTGGGTCACACCTGACGATGCACAGGGGTTACTTCTGGCTCTGCACTCAGGAATTACTCCTGATGGTGCTCAGGGGGCCATATGGGATGCTGGGAATCGAACCTGGGTCGACTCTGTGCAAGGAAAATGCCCTACCCGCAGTGCTTTCGCTCCAGCCCCAAAACTTTATTGTTTTTTTGTCTGTGGTTGAAACCAGGTAACTTATAACTTTGAATTCTCAAATATCCCTGAAAAGACATGTACCCATAGGAATTTTTTTTGGCTTTTGGACCGCACTCAGCTGTGCTTACGGATTGCTCTGGCCCTGCTCAGAGATCACTTCTGTGTGTGCTTATGAGACCATAGGTACTAGCCAGGTTAGCCACATGCAAGGCAAGTGCCTTACTCCAGTGCTATCTCTTTTGCCTAGTTGTTCTTATTTATTTTGTTTGTTTTGGGGCCATACTCTGTGGTACTCAGGGCTTACCTTACTCCTGACTCTGCACTTAGGACAGACTTCTGGCAGACTCCGGAGATATATGGGATGCTGGGGATTGAATCTTGGTCAGCCATGTGCAAGGCAAGTGGCCTACCCTGTGTATTATTGTTCCAACCCCTGGTTAATCCGCAGCACCACATGGTCCCCTCAAGCATCAAGAGTACCCCTTTAAAAATTAACAACCAGGGCCTGGAACAATAGCACATTGTGTGGGCCACTTGTCTTGCATGTAGCTGACCCAGATTCAATCCTCAGCATCCTATATGGCCCCTTGGCTCTATACTCAGGGATTACTCCTACAGTCATGGGGGACCATGTGGTGCTTGGGTTCAGCTTTAGGCCCACTGTATTGTCTCTGATTCTGGCCTCTTTCGTTATGGTAATGACAATTACGTGAAATATGCTTTATTTATCCTGAGTTCTTTGTTTTAATTTTTAATTTCTCACAGGTTTTTGTCTGGATTCTCCTGGACCTTTGGACAGCAAAGAAAAGTGTGTATTCACTGCTTTCAATGTTTTCTATTTTTTTGTTGTTTTTATGGGCCAAACCTGTTGATCTTCAGACTGTACTCCTGGCTGTGCACCACACTCAGGAATTATTCCTGGCTGTGAGTAGTTATTCACCGGGGGACCATAATGGATGCCTGGCATTAAACCCAGGTTGATTAATCGCAAGGCAAGCACCCTACCTGCTGTACTGTCTCTCCAGACCCCCAAAATTGTTAATTCATAAAAAGGCACATGCATATAACATTTTTGGATTTGTTTAATAGCCAGTGTTCCTCAGGGATTACTCCTGTGCTAAGATGGGCATTTCCCTTAACGGTCCTCCCGTTGCTCATCGATTTGCACGAGCGGGCCCAGTAACATCTCCATTGTGAGACTTGTTACTGTGTTTGACATATCAAATACATCACGGGTAGCTTGCCAGGCTCTGCCCTGCGGGCGAGATACTCTTGGTAGCTTGCTGGGCTCTCCAAGGGGGTGGAGGAATCGAACTCGGGTCGGCCATCTTGGCCGCTTGTTAGGCAAATGCCCTACCGCTGTACTATTGCTCCAGCTGGACATTTCCCTTAAGACTATGAAATACTGGGGATCGAACTTGGGTCTGCTCTGACCCACTGTTCTATCTTTCTAGCTCCATATAAATTGTTAGTACAATTATTTTGTGCATCCTGCTTGAAATACAGTAATGTTACTGCTGAAGGTAAAAGACTGGAGCAATAATTTAGTGGGTAGGACATTTGCATGGCACACAGCTGACCCAGGTTTGATCCCTGGCATCTCATATATTTCCTGAGTGCAAAGCCAGGAGTAACTCCTGAGCATTGCTGGGTGTGAACCACAACCCCCGCACTCCCCTCCCCGCCAAATTCAATAATGTTATGGCCAGGAATAAGTGCATGTGAATTCATTTAATAATTTTAAAACACCTATGCAGACAGAATGCAGTCTAGGTTAAAGATTATTATGAGATTTGAGAATTGCAGAAATGGATGATATGTAGAATCTGACCTTCCTGCATATGGTTCTCCTGTTAGCATAATGTCTTTTGCATGCTTATGCAGTGCATAATCCCCGCAGCCCTCCCCACAGCACATTCAGCATCCTTAGAGCCAAGACAGCCTTCAGTTCTCACAAACCATTTCCCTCAAGCTGCGACAGCTCCAATCTGGGGGGGAAAAGAAAGAAGGGAGTCTTCTGCACTTACAATGTTGATTTCATTCCGCTTATCCTTACCTAATAGATAAAAGACTGGATATAAAAACTTAACTGTCATAAATAAAAATTAAATTTTGTTTTGGGGTTACACAAGGCATGTGCTTAGGAGCTAATCCTCTGGTGCTCAGGAGACCATGCAGTGCCTAGATCAAACTCAGACCTCCTACATGAAAAGCATGTGCGTTAACCATTTGAGCTATTTCCCTAGCTCACTTTTTTTGAGTATTTTTGAGGATTAGAAGGCAACTTTTAAAAAAATGAGAATGAGACATTATGGCTAGAGAGGTAGAGATATACTGATAACTTTTAGTATCCAGGTATCCTTCCTCAAAATTTTCAATAACTTACCATTATCTGTTTCATAGACTCTGAACTGCCTTAAGTACTTGTAAGACATGGTGCTTTGACCAGTGTATGCCTACTTCTCTTCTACCATTCCCTCATATGTCCTATTCATTCCACATCTGCCAGAGTATACACTTAGCATCTCAAACAAGTGAATATCCCCTTTAAAAAAAAATCTTGTAGGCCAGAGATAGCATAAGCTGAGCACGTGTTTTGCATGCAGGAGGCTCTGGTTTAAATTCCATCAGCACCGCATATTCCTAAAGCACACTGGAGGTCACCCCCAGCACAAGGTCAGGAGTAACTCCCAAGCACCATTGGGTGTGACTCAAAAGTACAAAAATGAAATTGTTCTTGGACTGAGTCTATGAGCTTACTACATGCACTGCATGTGGGAGACCTGGATTCTAACTCTAGCACTGCATGGTGCCCCAGCAGCAAGTAGTAGTAACCCCCTCATCATCCCCAACAAAAAAAGTCTGTTCTTTCATATTGTCTAAAAGGGGATATGTTTTTCTCCTGCCTATATCATAAACAGGATGCCGCTTGTAATGTGTACAAGCTTTACTTGCTTTATTCTCATTATTTACCTTCTGATCTCATTGCAGCCTTGAAAATCCCATGAGGAGAATAAATTCCCTACCTGTAAGTTAGTTCCCTTGTTTATTTTGAGATATCACTGAATATTTGTCCCTTTAGCTTACTGATCGACCCTTAATAGTATATGCTAATTTAGAGGTAAAAATATTTTCCTTAGTCTCAAAAGCATTCTAAATCAGCTTTAAAAGTTACTACCTCTTGGGCTCTTTCCTCCATCTCTAGCAATCAGAATTTTGTTCTTTTTGTGTAAATGTTACTTTTGGGTTGATTTGGCACCCTTATCTCTTAGAGGGTAGAAGCTATTGTGATGATAGGTGTAAAGCCATGTAGTGGAAAATGCTCTGTTTTCCAGGAAAACGGAGCTCCAGCCACATTTCCTGGTTACTTCCTACAGTGTATGAAAAGCTAGTCTTCCCACTGCCATTTTTATTTATGTGCCCTAATTCTTTTTTTTTTTTCCTTTTCTTTTAATACTTTGGTAGCAGAAGTTCTTGGGGTGTAGCCCAGCATTGAAGAGGAGTCATTCTGATTCTCTTGACCATGTCTTTCAGCTGATGGACCAGGATGAGAACAAGGAAAATGTGAGTATCACATTTGTGTATTGACAGGACAGAGGTAAAACCCACAAGCGTGGCTTACAGAGAAACAACTCTTGAGTCTGAGAAACCTAGGCTGAATCGTGCTGCTTACTTATGTCACCTTGGTTGATTTCTAATTTCTAGACTTCGTCATTTCTTTGTAAACTGGGAGTAATAATATGTAGTAGGTCTATTGTGGGAACTCAATGAGTTGATTTTTATAGATCATTTTAAATAGCTCCTGACAGAAGTTACTCAGAAGGTAGTTCGTTTTATTGTTAACTGGTTGGGGGAGGGAGGTATTTAACTCAGAACTTTGCACATGCTTGGCATATGCTCTACTGATTGACACATTCCCAGCTCCCTCAGATCGTAGCTCAAAAGTGTGATTTGATAATACCTGGAGTAGTGTTTCTGGAAGGGTCTTGCCTCCTTTGCATTGACCATGGGATGAGTTGTGTGACCTTGGGAAAGCTTTTTTTTTATTTCCCGCCCCTCTTGGAGAGCCTGGCAAGCTACCGAGAGTATCCGCCCGCATGGCAGAGCCTGGCAAGCTCCCCATGGTGTATTTGATATGCCAAAAACAGTAACATGTCTCACAGTGGAGACATTACTGGTGCCCGCTTGGGCAAATCGATGAATAACAGGAGGACAGTGCTACAGAGCTTTTTTTTTTTTTTTTTTTTTTTTAAAGAGGCCAGCAAGTCTCAGGGATTCATAATGTATTTAAACTGGTAGTTGAGTGCTGGAGTAATAGCACAGCGGGTAGGGCATATGCCTTGCATGCAGCCGACCTGGGTTCAATTCCAAGCTTCCAATACGGTCCCCTGAGCATCTCCAGGTGTGACCCAAAAAAGCAAAAAAAATAAACTGGTAATTGAGAGAGAGAGAGAGAGTGCGAGTTGGGGGCACATTGGTTTGCTTTGGGGCCAAACCCAGCTGTGCTCAGGGATCACTCCTGGCGGTGATTGAGACAGTTTGTTTTGAGTGCCGGGGATTGAACCCTGTACACCCTTGTGCAAGGTAAATGCCTTACTCGCTGTGTCATTTCTTCAGCCTGCAGGTAGGTTTTTCTGTTTTTCTTGTGGGGAACTCCCATGTGGTGCTTAGGAAGCCTGGGCGTTAGCTAGTGATTCTTAACTAGTAATGCAGTTGCCTTATGGTTCTCTTAAGGACCGGTCAGGGTCGTGTAGCAGTGGCCATATGTATTGCTGGTTTACACTTAAGTTTAGTGCTCCAGCCAGGCAGTACCTAGGGTCCAAGAAGGTCACATCCTATAGTCCTGCCATGGGAGACTTGTTGAGCAGGAGTCTGGACCCAGGGTCTTACACATGTTAGGTGTGTGCTCTACTGCTTGATTTACCTCTCTGGCTCTGAAATGAAAAGTTTTTTCTTTGTTTTAAGTGAGGTATCATGGTTCATACAGCTACTACTTCCAATCCCTCCAGTATTTCAGGATTCCTTCATTATTATCCTATGTTCCTTTTTTCCTCCTCCCCTCTTACAGTTCCCTGATCATGTCTCAGGATTTGTTTCCATTGGGAATTGTCTAATTTCTTTGTTTTTGTTTTGGGGCCATCCTGATAATACTCAGAGGTTTCTCCTGGCTCTGCACTCAGGAGTTACTCCTGATGGTGCTTATAGGAACATACGGGATGCCAGGGATCAAACCCGGGTCAACCACGTGCAGGGAAAGTACCCTAAAATGCTGTACTATTGCTCTGGCCCTACCCTTCTTTATTTTTATATACTCCATATACAAGTGAGATGATGTTTATCTTTTACTTTCTTGGTGGAGGGCCACAACAGGCAGTGCCCAGGGCTTATCCCTGGCTCTGTACTCAGGGATCACTCCTGCAAGGGTCATATTTGGTATCAGGGATTGAAACCCACATTGGCCTTATGGAAGATAAGCATCCTACCCATTACTGTCTCTCCAGTTCTGTATCTTTTACTTCTAACTCACTTCACTTAGCATGAGACCCTCCAATTTCATCCATATTGCAGCAGATGGCAAGATTTTATCATTTGGGGATGGGGGAATGGGGTACACACACTGCTGTACTCAGGGCTTACTTCTGGCTTTGAGTTCAAGGATCACTCAGGTCTGTGCTTTGATGACTGTGGTGCCAGGGATTGAGCCTGAGTCATGTGCAAGGTGTACCTTACCCCTTGGACTATTTCTCTGACCTCATTTTACAGCTGAATAGTATATGTAAGTTTTGTGGTATTTTGCAGTGCCAAAAATTGAACCCACAAACTTGTATAGGCAGTACTTGTATGAAGGCACTGAGTTACCACCCCAGCCTGAAATGAAAGTTTTGACTGCCATTTACAAGTAGTTATATGAAAATAATTTCTTTAGAGTTTAGAAAGTTGTTGATTTAGGGGTGGAGAGATAGTACAGTGGGTAGGGCACTTGTTTTGCATGCAGCCAATCCAGACTTGGGCCCCAGTAGCTCATATGGCCCCTATGCACCACCAGGAGTAATTCCTAAGTGCAGAGTCAGGAGTAATCCCTGAGCATCACTGGATATGGCCCTAAAATAAAAAACAAGATATTGATTTAGCTTACAAGTGTAATGTTTTGTGTACTTTAGTAAGGTGCTCCTTGTCTTAGAAAGTAAAGTATGGTATTTGACTTGAGAGAAAAAAGTGCTGCACAAGACCTTAGTTCTCAGTCTTAGAAATTCTTATTTCTGTGGATCCCGTGGTGGAATTAGATTAGACACGGGTAAACCCTTAATTGGAGGTAGTATAGAGGCAGTACACTGCAGCCTGCTCCCTTACTGTATTACTTGAGATGCAGCTGAGCCCCTAAGCTAGTTTTTATGGACAGTGGAAGATGTCTTGCCCATACTGTCTTGCAGGAAGCCTTTGAATTTAAGAAGCCAGTAAGACCTGCATCTCGTGGCTGCCTACACTCTCAAGGATTTGAGGAGGGTAAAGATCTCTTCACACAGAGACAGAACTCTGTCCCAGCTTGGATGGTACGTTCTATGGCTTTCATAGGGGAAGAGAATTAGAACATTCTCTTTGACCACAGTAGGGTTTTTTTTTTTTTTAAATGTAGGAGTACTGCTATTTATTCAGCCACTGATTAGCTGATTGAATTGGGCATGAACTCCACCTTTTTTTTTTTTCATTTTTTTATAATTGTATTTATTGAATCACCATGAGAGCAGTTACAAAACTTTCGGGTTTAAGTCTCGGTCATACAATGAAACACCTGTACCTTCACCAGCGCCCATTCTCCACCACCAAAAACCTCAGTATGCCCCCACCCCATACCCCCCCTACTGTGGGGCAGATGATTTCCACATTACTCTCTCTCTACTTTGATCACATTCAATATTTTGACACCAGACCCACCATTTGGGATTTTACCCCAACACTCAGATTTGCTGAAAAAGCAACAGTAGACAATTTGTTTTCTATTGCTGGTGAAGAATAGCTATGATGTTGTGTGGCTGCAGTAGTGACTGCGTGATTTTGAAATTCCGAAATTTTAACACTTAAATCTGGAGGGATTTGCCAAAACCTGCTGGGTTCTGAGATTTGTTCCTGAGTCTTTTGGATCATGGTCGTTAAGCAGCTTGATCAGGAGCCAGAGAGGACGTTCATGGGCGGTGACTTGGGGTCTTGTTGGGGTGGGGAGGAAAGGGCCGGCTCCATCCCCATCCTGTGAGGCCCCATGTGTCTTGTCACTGAGGGCCCAAACCCGACTGTCCAATGGCCTCTGGAGGATGACAGCCACTGAGACACCTAGGGGGAGCAGGTGGAGGGCAGCACCCTGTCCCCCCTGGTGTGGCCTGGCAACAGTAACCTACTGTGGATCCGGATGCATTTCTGCCAAAAGCTGTTGGATTTCGAGATTTGTTTGAGTCTCTGGGATCATTGTCATTAAGCAGCTTGATCAGGAGCCAGAGAGGCCGTTAGGACCACAGTAGTTCTTACTGTTGTTACTTCAACTTTCTCTTTTGAAACTAGCTGTCATATTTTTGGTATAATTGCTGAATCTGAGGAGCAGAGTAAGAGATAGTGTTTGGAATATTAGACTTGAGCAAGGAATATTTGATCTTGTTCATTCTGGGCTGGAGCGATAGCACAGCGGTAGGGCGTTTGCCTTGCACGCAACCAACATGGCCGACTCGAGTTCGATTCCTCCGCCCCTCTCGGAGAGCCCGGCAAGCTACCGAGAGTATCTCGCCTGCACGGCAGTGCCTGGCAAGCTACCCGTGACGTACTCGATATGCCAAACACAGTAACAACAAGTCTCATGATGGAGACGTTACTGGGCCCGCTCGGGCAAATCGATGAACAACGGGAGGACCGTGACCGTGACCATTCTGGGAAAACAGTCTCAGGGCACAGGGCCTGGGAAATGACTTGGTGGTAAAACAGATGTTTTACCTATGTGAAACTCAGCATTTACTTTATCCCTAGCTCTGGGGCAGGAGAGATAGTACAGTGAATAAGGCACTTGCCTTGTACACATCTCACCTGGGTTTGGTCCCTGGCACCTCATAGTTCCCTGAGTTCTGGTGTGAACCCTGAATACCACATGGTTTGGCCTCAAAACAAAAACAAAAAGGGGGGGAGGAGGTAAAGAATACCAAGTTATTCCAAGTCATTCTTCTAAAAATCTTTCGTAAAAGTTGTTTCATGTCGGGGCCAGAGCAATAGCATACAGCCAACCCAGGTTTGATTTCCAGCACCCCCATATGATTCCTCGGAGCCTGCCAGGAGTGATCCCTGAGCACAGAGCCAAGAATAGGCCCTGAATGCCATCAGTTTGGCCCAAAACAACAATCCCTCCCCACCCCACCCCCAAAAAAAAAGTCATGTGGAGCCAAAGGGATGTGTAACAGATGAGCACACCACATATAGTCCCCCAAGCCCAGCCAGGCATGTACCAAAACCAAACGTAAAATGTCTCGTATGAAAAACATTTTTTCATTCTTAACTTCATTGTGCTGAGAGCTTGGTTTCACTGCCAGGAGTGACAAACTCCTCCCCACGCTTCAGCAGAGTGGGAGTAGCCTCTAAGCACAGCCAGGTGCAGCACTAAAATACAAAACTTTGGAGCATTAGTACACTTGCCTTGCACCAACCTGGGTTTGATCCTTGACACCACATATGGCTCCCCAAGCACTACTGGTTGTCACTCCTGAGCAGAGCCAGGAATAATCTCTGAGCTCTCCTGGGTGTGGCCCCAAAACCATAATAAATAATTTAAAAGAATAAGGGGTCGTTTTGTGGTCTCCATTGACTTGAACCTTTTTGTCTTTCCTCATGTTAACCGATGATCCTATCAACTCTTGTGTTTGTTCCTGTTGACCCATTACAATTTTGTGAAAGTAAACCTTGTCTTTATAAGCATAGCCATAAGGTGAACTAAATCTGGTTTCTCTGTGAAGGCTAATCCTTTTTAGGCTTGACTCTTCTCAGGATTATGTGTGGATGTCAAGTCCTTTATGATTTAGTATTTATTTTTCTTTATTAGCTGCTAAAATTTTATTTCTTACAGAATTTTTACTCATAAAATTAGTGGACATATCCTTGGAAATCAAACCTGGTCATTTCACAAGTCATGTTTTTTGTTTTGTAGTTTTCCTCAAATGAAAGAGATAGTGATCCAGGGAGTGTTAGTCCATTTTTTATGCCACAGTCACCTGTGACTGCCACTTTATCAGATGAAGATGATGGCTTCATGGATCTTCTTGAAGGAGAGAATCTAAAGGTAGTGTGTGTTCTTAACATGTTCCTATTCCACTAATTTGTGTGATTTCACTTATCACCCTAGAAATTAGTTTGAAAAAGATCAATCTTTGTGTAATTTAACTGCTTGTGCTCATTTAGCAAGACTTCACTAAGACTTTGTTTTTAATGCAGTTAAATCCTGTGGGGACTTTAGACAGTGCTATGATTCTTACCCAGAAGATTCTTGACTTTATGCAAGAAACATTATATAAGAATAGTGGAAGGCTTTTTGCTACCTGATATAAAACTAGTGGGATTAAGGATACCACACATATAGTCAGGGAATACTAATTTAAGCTGTGTTCAGATACCTGAGTGGTAACCATGATTCTTTTGACTTTAAAGTTGGGAAATAAGTTGCACACATGCTTACCAAGGGTTACAGATTTAAATGAGGCACACAGTTAGGATTGGGAATATTCCCAGAGGTCACACCATCTGGCTGTGGTACTTGCCAGGGGTCAATCCCTTTTTGTAGTGCTTACACACTGCTGAATAGTGCAACAAGAAATTGCTTTTGGCACTAAGAATTTGAAGTTGCTATGATTGACTAGCAAGACAGGCACCCTGTCCATTTAGTGAATCTTCAATTGAGTTGGTGCAGGCAGGCATATCCAGAAGTGCTTTGGAGCTATTTCACCAGCTCTCAGGGACCAGAGACTGCTGGAGATCAAAATGGGGATTCCAACATGGAAAACATGCACTGTAGTTTTGAGCCTTCTTCCCAGCCTGTCTACTTACTGGATCTTTAAATTCTTATTTTTCTCTGTAGAATGATGATGAGACCCCATCATGCATGGCGAGCCTCTGGACAGCTCCTCTTGTTATGAGAAGAACTACAAATCTCGTAAGTTGTCCTATTGTCTGGAGAGAAACCTTCAGTAATTGAGCTCCTGGAATAGTGGACAAAACTAAAGCTTTGGGTCTATAAACCTTTCCTTTGACTTGTTATTAATGTTTACTAGTATATAGTACAGACTGAGACTGATACCCCTGACTATGAATGCAAAAAAGGGACATGCTGCGAGGACTGTAGCGATAGCACAGCGGGTAGGGCATTTGCCTTGCACGTGGCCGACCTGGGTTCAATTCCCAGCATCCCATATGGTCCTCCGAGCACCGCCAGGAGTAATTGATCTGCATCACCAGGTGTGACCCAAAAAGCAAAAAAAAAAAAAAAGAAAGAAAGAAAAGGAAAAAAAGGAAAGGGACATGCTGGATTGTAGCTCAGCAGTAGAGCATTTGCTTCAGATGTAGGAGGCAATGAAAAATGTCTGTGGCTCCCTTTCACCAATAAGAGAAAAGAACTTACTGGTCTATTGTATTTTTTTTCCCTCAGTTATGAGAAAATAGGGACTAGAGAATAATAGGAGGAGATAAACAGATAAATATGTATTTGGTTTTTAAAAAGTCAGAAAACCTTCATTGAAGAATAATTCATTTTACTTCAGATCATTCTCATATATTGCATCTAGCACAACATTTAAAAACTAATAGTTACTTGGTTTGCATGCTACTTACCCTGGTTTTATCCTGACACAACATATGTTCACCTGAGCACTTTTACCCCAATAAAAATAATAGTAACTCACAGATTTTTTTTCTTTCAAAATTTTTGGGCCACACCCAGCAGTTTTCAGGGGTGACACCTGGTGGTACCTGGCTCTGCACTCAGGGATCAGGCCTGGTGTGCTCAGGGGACCATATGTGGTGCTGAGGCTGAATTTGGGTCTGCATGCAAGGTACTGGGAATTGAACCCAGACTTGTGAAGCACGTGCCCTACTATTGTGAGTCATATCCCCCAGCTCCCAGGAACAAATGTTATGGTTAAATAAATTAGGTTCTTTTGGAAGATATAAAATATATGTTGATGGGGCTGGAGCGATGGCACAGCGGTTAGGGCGTTTGCCTTGCAAGCAGCCAACATGGCCGACCCAGGTTCGATTCCCAGCATCCCATGTGGTCCCCCGAGCACCGCCAGGAGTAATTCCTGAGTGCATGAGCCAGGAGTAACCCCTGAGCATCGCCGGGTGTGACCCAAAAAGCAAAAAAAAAAAAAAAAAAAAAGATAAGAAATATACATTGAGAACATTTTGGAAATGGCTGTCCAGTTTTTAAATTGAATTTTAAAATTGCCACTATTATTCAACATTGTGAATCACCATTGTATCACCTCAGCCCACCTCATTAAGGACCTTCACAGTTGGGGAATTTCTTTTCCACAGTTAACACAGACTGAATTGCTGGAGACATGAAATAGTGGTTTCTGTCCTGAGCTCAAAGATTTGTTTCCATCTCATTTGATTTGAAGAAAAGATGCCAGAGAGATAGCTCAAAGGGTTATGGCTTGGTGCTGGAGTGATAACATCGCTGATAGGGCATTTGCCTTGCACGAGGCCAACCCAGGTTCGATTTCCAGTATTCCATATGGTCCTCTGAGCACTGCTAGGAGTAATTCCTGAGTACAGAGCCAGGAGTAACCCCTGTGCATCGCCGGGTGTGACCCAAAACACACACACACACACACACACACACACACACACACACGACTATGTCTTTTGGGTGGAGTCATGGGGATGGGGAGCCACATTTGTGGTGCTCAGGTCTTATTCCTTCTTCTGTCCAGAAATTACTTAGAGGTGCTCAGAGGACCATATGGTATGGGGATCTAACTGGCTGGCTGTGTACAAGGCATTCAAGTAATAAGGTTTTAGTAAAAGGTGGGTCTCTCTTTTTTTTTTCCTCTTTTCTCTTTCCTCTAAGGGCAATCGAAGCAAGCAATTTGACTCCCCTTCCACATATAGCTCCAATACCCGATCAATGTTGAAGAGATCAGAACGATCTCAAGAGGAATCTCCACCTGGAAATCCAAAGCGGAGGAAGAGTGTGGCTGGGACAAGGCCTGAAGAGGCTGGTAGTCCAGAGAAACACCAGGAGGTTAGTTTTGCAAGTTCCTTTTTTGCTGGTGGAAAGTGATCTTGGGTTTTCCTGCCTAAATTGTCCATTTGAGGTTGGGAATAAGGCTCACTGATAGAGCATGTGCATAATAATGTGAAACCCTGTGTGCCGTTCCCGTCACAACATGCAAAGTATGTGCTCCATCCAGATCCTCTTCTCTTTCTATACCTTGTACATTATCTTTGACACTTATTTTGTTTTTCTTTATTCATGGAAGTATTTTCTTATAATCATTGCTTTAAAATCCTTGTTGATTACTTCAGTTTGTTCTGGTTATAGCTCCTTGGTTTTGTTTTGGTGCCTGGAGCATCCAGCTTAGTGCTTCCAAGGAGTTGTTCATGACAGGGCTACTACATGCAAAGCATATACTTTTTTGTCTTAATGTTGAACCACACCTCACAGTGCTCAGGGCTGATTCCTAAGTCAGGAATCACTTCTGGTTGTGCTCAAGGGACAGACAGTGCAGTGCCTGGATCAAATTGGGGTTGGCCATGTGCAAGGCAAGTGTCTCACTCCTGTACTATCCACACCGCAGCTCCCCACTGATCCCTCTTCCCTCAATCAGCTGTGTTCAAAGTCCTCCCTATCTGCTGTGCTATCTCTAAGCCCTCTTAGTCTGTGTTTTGGGTTTGTTTGTTTGTTTTGTTTTTTGAGTGGGCACACCCAGCAGTGCTCAGGGCTTACTTCTGGTGGGCTCAAGGGACCATTTGGGATGCCAGGAACCGAACCCAGGTTGGCTGCATGCCAGGCAAGTTTCTTACCTGATATACTACCTCTTTATCCTCTCTTGTTTTTTTGGACCTCATCCACTGGTGTTCAGAAGCTACTCTTGTTCACGTTGCTCAGGGGCGCATGTAGTGCCCGATATACATTTGGATCCTACACCTAAAATATGTGCTGCAATCTTTGAGTTATCTTCCCTGGCCCTTCTTATTCATTGTTTTGGTGAAAATAATGTTAATTTTGGTTTTGGGATTTGATCTGTCTTGTTTGGTGGAGCCAGAAATCAAACCCTGTGTTTGTTTCCCCTTCCCCCACCTTAATCTTTTCCTTAAAGTTGGAATTGAGGCCCAGGATGTGACTCAGCATTAGAGCACTTGCATGTGTGGGAACTCTGCATTTTTGGTCCAGGCACCACCTAAAACAAAGAGACAGGAGAGATAGTATAAGGGCCGAGGCTCTTGACTTGCATGTTACTTGTTCCTGTCATGACATATCTTTCCTCAAGTTGCCAAGAGTCATCCCTCAGCCGTGTGTGACCCCAAACCAAATAAATAATAAATGGGGTAAAGATATGGCTCAGTGGTAAAGCAAAATAATGACTTAGCTTTGGAGTTGCTAGATTTGATCCCAACATCTCGAAAAATTTTTTTTTACTAATTGAAAGACATACTCAGTAATCCATATTCATTTCACTCCAGATTCAATCAAGAGCTCTTTTATTTGCTAAGTGTAGACAACAAAAGTTGAGTCTCCTTAATAGAATCCAGATGAATGTTTGCAAAAGTCATGTTCAGAATCCTGATCTCATTCTTCATTTTTGTTGCAGAGTCCTCATCAATCTTTATCTTTGGCATATTCTCCAAAAGGAACCATTGAGAACATTTTGGATAATGACCCAAGGGACCTTATAGGAGACTTTTCCAAGGTAATTGAGAGCAGATGCAAGTAGGGGCTGGGGATATTGCTCAACAGGAGAGAATATTTCTTGCAGATATGAGACACAATAGTAATGCAACCCTGGACCCATAGTTTAGTGGTGCTTTGCATGTAGGAGGCCTAAGTTTGACACCTTCCCCGCAACAAAAAGGAAGCAAGCTGAGTTAAGCAGGAGTAGTCCTTGAATACTCCCGTGTGTGCCCCAAACTCACCCAACCCTACCCCCACATACTGGGGGGTGGAAACTACTGTAGAATCAAAAGATCATCTTAGGGTCACTGTTGTTTTTTTTATAAGCTTGTTCACATTAATTGATTACTTTCAATATTTCAACACCCGTCCCACCACCATTATTTCGAATTTTCCCACCACCACTCAAACCTGCCTGCCAGGGGAAGATGCTAGATAATTTATTTTCTATTGTTATGAATATTAGGAGAGGTTGCGCGGCTGCGAAAGTGGCTGCGCGTGTCTGGAATTCTAAAACTGTAAATGATTGGAGTCCAGAGACATCTCTGTAGGGAACTAATCCATTTTGAGATTCATTTGTGAGTCTCAAATTCAAGACCATTAATGCATTGGGATGGCACTCAGAGGCAGCTCATGGGCATGACAGCCAGGACCCCAAGCTGGAGGGGAGGCAGGAAGGGACAGGTTGTCTCCGCTGCCATGTGGCCTGGAGTCTTAGTTAGGGTCACTTCTTTCCTTTCTTCCTCCCTCCTCCCCCATTCCATCCTGAAGGGGAAAAAAATTAGAATATTTGGAGCTGAGTTGAATTTCTCCGTTGTACAGAGAAAATGTATTTGAGGGTGAAAGCCCCCCAGAAATTCCAGAGGCCCGTCATGTAGGCATGAACCCCATGTGCCACAGCACAGTGTTTTTAAAAGAAGTAAAAAATTATCTTGAGGTTTTTATATTCATATCCAGCTGACTGGCAGATAATGTGCTCAGTTCTGCCATCTAAAAATGAAGATAAATGCCTTCAGATTTTAGTTATAAATAAATGAATTGCCTAGCATATGATATTAGAAAAGTTGCCTCTTAACCAGCAAGCAAGCAAGCAATGTGAAAATTGGATTTGTGCATTTTCAATTTGCCCCCCCCCTTTTTTTTTTTAAGGGTTATCTCTTTCGTACAGTTGCTGGGAAGCATCAAGATTTAAAATATATCGCTCCAGAAATTGTAAGTAATCCTTTTAGAACCAACTACACATGGGTTCTAGTTATTCCTGGCAGCCAAAGTTGATTTTCCATGGCTTTCTCTCCACAGGTGGCATCTGTTTTGAATGGCAAGTTTGCCAACCTCATTAAAGAGTTTGTTATCATTGACTGCCGCTACCCATATGAATATGAGGGAGGCCACATCAAGGTATGGGTTTCTGAGGCTTCCTGATGAGTTCTCTCATGCTGACACAGAAGCAACTTGAACAGCATCTGATTTTCCAAATGTGGGATAGTGATTGCTTTCACTAGCTCACATGCTTTGAGAACTATTCACAGAGAAAGTAGAAGACTGGAGGGACTTTATAAGGCTAAGGCACTTGCTTTGCATGTAGCTGACCCTGGTTTGATCCTCATCATCCCAGGAGTAGCCCCTGAGCACTGCCAGATGTCTTTTAAAAATCCCCTTTCCTCCCCACTCCAGTATGAAAGGTCTGACCCAGATACACTAACTGGAAATTCTCTGGTCTATACTACACCGCATTGCTAGAGAGTGCTTCCTCTTCTGTCCCTTACGCCACCAGAAGCAGCAAGCTCCCTGGTCTCAAAACTTTATGATGCTTCTTCAGTTTGTGTTAAACATTATCTGATATCATGGGGAATTAGCTGGTGGTTCCATTTTATGTATTAACTTTTTAATCAGTGGAAGCACTGAGATAATGGTAAAGGCTCTGTTAAATACATGCTAGTCTTTGCTGATACCTTACGGCTTGTAGAGGCCTCAAGTTCCCAGACCCCACTCCAGAGTACACAATAGTTGGGAAAGAATTTGAGGTACCTCTTTAAAGATTGCTGTCACAGAATCACTAATGGTAGTGTCAGTCATGTACAGGCATGCAGGTCCCTAAAGTTTCTGGTGCTTTTACAGGGTGCAGTAAACTTGCACATGGAAGAAGAGGTTGAAGACTTTTTGCTCAAGAAGCCCATCACACCAACTGATGGCAAGCGTGTCATAGTTGTGTTCCACTGCGAGTTTTCTTCTGAACGAGGCCCTCGCATGTGAGTGTTGCATAAAAAAAGTGGACTCTGGGCTATGGTCCTTTGAGCTTTTGTAGAACATGATGGTGGTGACTTCAGCCTGGAGTGTACTTTAACATATTGGGCTTCCTCTCACATTCTTTGCATATTGCAAAGCATTTTCATGCCTTAAACTACCTATTTGGCATGTAAAAATAGTTTTATAAAGGTACAAAGCATATGTGATAGATGTTATCTCCGATTCCTATTTATTTAGCCGTCACCTGATCTCATAAATAGCTTTCTTGAGCAGAGTTAAAAGGTGCTGAGAACTTTCTGACTTCTTAGTCTGTCTGACACTGTTATTGCACCTAAACCATGCTCCAGGGATCTGGCCTTATTGTCAAATTCAGGGTGAAAAGCAGTACCTTCCACAGATACACACCTTCTTAGCAAGAATGTCCATGAAGATTTTGGTCTTTAGGACCATGTTTTAAATAATCTGTATTCCAATAGCTTCATCCAGGGGTTGGAGATTTTAAAAAGGTTAATGTACTTGCTTTGCACGTGGAAATCCCATGTTAATCCCTGGCATGCTGTGGTTCCCCAATCTACCCATATAGTAAATCTTGTGCACCACTGAATGGCCCCAAATAAACAAAAAGCACTGTTACTGTCATTCTCCACCCATTGTTCATCCATTTGCTCGAGTGGGCCCGGTAACATTGTGAGACTTGTTACTGTGTTTGGCATATCAAATACGTCACGGGTAGCTTGCCAAGGCTTTGCCGTGTGGGCGAGATACTCTCGGTAGCTTGCCGGCCTCTCCAAGAGGGGCCGAGGAATTGAAGGCGGAGGAATCAAACACGGGTCAGCTGGGTAGGCCATGTACAAGGCAAATGCCCTACCCGCTGTGCTATCGCTCCAGCCCAACAAAAGGCACGGTGCTAGAAAAGTTAATCAGAAGTGAATGATGGCGGTTAGAGACTAGCTTAACAAGCTGAGCTCATGCTTTGCATGTGGAAGGCCCAGATTTGATTCCCAGCACTGCGTGGTCTTCTAAGCACTGAGCTGGAAGTAGCCCTGAGCAGTACAAGCTGTGGACCAGAATAGAAGTGAGAGAAATTGAAAAACTGATTTGAAATTGGAAAAAAAAGGCCAAACAGTGGCCCCTCTGTATCCGTTCAGAAAGGACTGCAAGCTTGATATGTGACAGTCTTTAGTCAAAGGTGTAGTGATGGTGGGGACAGCAAAGACCTGAGTACAGGGAAGTGTCTCAGAGGAGAGACATACATGGTTGTGGTTTGTATTGAGAAAAGGGCAAATGGGGCCAGAGCAGAAGGACAGGCAGGATGCTTGCTTTACTGGGATCAGTCCCAAGTCCTGCAGCCTTTATCTCCAGAGGATGAGGACTTTGAGACTGACCACAGGAAGAGATGAAGTTTGAATCAAACCTAATCATTCATAATCAGAAGTATTCTTCAGAATTGGCTCTTAAATGCCAGATATAGTTCTCTAGTGGTCTCTTGAGAACAGTAGGGAACCAAATACACACGATGCCCGGTTTACATTTGGAGCTAATATTCCAGAGTGGTCAGGAGGAGGACCGACAGTAAGTAAACCATAGCGTGTTTACTTAGTAGTACTTCCCTGTACTCAGGTCTTTGCTGTCCTCCCCATCACTACACCTTTGACTAAAGACTATCACGTTTCAAGCTTGCAGTCCTTTCTGAACAGATACAGGGGGGCCACTGTTTGGCCTTTTTTTTTTTCAATTTCAAATCAGTTTTTCAATTCCTCTCTCTTCATGCATGAATGTGCTTCAGAATAAAACAAGACCCAAGGTCTCGGGGGACCTGCATGGTGACACACTATACGTTAGCTTTGATGGCAGTGTGTGGGCAATAAGGAGCCACCCACGGGTGAGACTATTCGGGAGAATATTTTGGTCCAAGCATAGGCTGCAAATCAGTGTCTTGAGGAAGGAGCACAATCTTCTTGAAAGCTTCAGGAAGAAAGAAACCCTCTTAGGCGGGGGTGAGGGCTGGTGCAGAGCCATCTCCAGGGGTGAGAGGCAAGTGGTATCTGAGAGGACTGGGTCAGATACAAGGAAGGCGGAGACAAGGGAGATAGTGCAGCCGTTCCCTGAACACTGCCACATACACCCCAAAACAGGTGGGCAGGGGCCTCCTCTCTACCTTTAATACAAGACAGCCTGTGAGCACTCTTCTTAAAGCTCAGTCATGCAGGTGGACTCAGTCTGTGACTCTTGACTCAGCTTTTGCCCTGAATATGTAACATCTGAGTTTGATCCCCAACACCACAGTGGGGGAAAACACAGCCAGGAACTTAAATTAACCCAAATTGGTTCTGAATCAGGAAGATGGGTGAAGAAACACTTAGCCCCGACAACCGCTTTCACCATGTTATTCCCACGTTTCTCAGGATGGATGAACTAACATTACTTTACTCCTATGTAGGTGTCGGTATGTGAGAGAGAGAGACCGCCTTGGTAACGAATACCCCAAACTCCATTACCCGGAGCTGTATGTCCTAAAGGGCGGTTACAAGGAGTTCTTCCTGAAATGCCCGGTAAGATGGGGGTCTCTGGCAAACATGGTCCTCTGCTTACTTGGGCTGGAGGTTGGATCTGATCATCCTAGCTGTTTCTTGCCAGGAGTCTACTCTGTCCTCCGGGGTACTCGGGCCTGTCCGGGTTTGCATTGTTGCTCCCAGAGTGGTCTGCGTCTGGGATATAGCTTCTGACGTCATGCTTCCTCTTGTCTTCTAGTCTCACTGTGAGCCACCCAGCTACCGGCCAATGCACCACGAAGACTTTAAAGAAGACCTCAAGAAGTTCCGCACTAAGAGCCGGACCTGGGCGGGGGAAAAGAGCAAAAGGGAGATGTACAGTCGTCTGAAGAAGCTCTGAAGATGGCAGTGCCCAGGAGCAGAAGCCTCCCTCCATCATCCTCCCCTTCTCCTCTTTGCTGCAGAGAAGTTTGACAAAGAGACCAGCTGTTTACACCTGGAAAAAAAGGCCCAGGGCTTCCACACCTTAAACCTACTTGCCACACTCCTGAAGTCGGAGCCCTGAGTATCCGCTGGCTGCATCTCTTCTGTCCCTGAGCCATCCTCTCCTGCCATCAGAACTGTGCCAAGGCTGTAGGCTGTCACCACAGCACAGAGCAAGATGTTCTGACTCCTCATCCCCCACAGTGGGAGGAACTTCCTCACCAGGCCGGGCCTTCATTCAGGAGGGCAGGGAAGAAGAGTGGGATTGGAGAGAAGTAATAATGGAAACACTGCTTGCCAAATACCAAAGACAGCCTGGGAAGGAAAGAGCTTTGTAGGGTCACCTATGTCTTTAATTTATTCAACTACATCAATCACTTTATTTTTGTTTTTTACTTTTTTTTTTAACTCCTGGAGACTTACTTAACTCCTTTAAGTCAAAATACTGCCATTCTAGGTAGGGTTTTAGCATCCCAGGGACTACCTCTGCTTTTAATATTTTTTTAAAAAAAAAAAAAGAAAGAGAAGGAAATGGGGGTGAAGAGGCAAATTTGAGAGTTGTGGGACAGTTAAGAGTGCTCTGTCACCCCCAGGAGGTGCTGCGGTACTGGGGCTGCTGCTATTGAAAGCCAAGAACTGAGATATGGTGGAAGCAGGCCCCCCAACTCAGACTTGGCTATAGGGCATAAGCTAAACCTCTCAGACCTACCTCAAAGGCCATTGATATCCATTCCTGCCCTCCCTCACTCCAGTTCCTTTTGATGCTGGTGTAGGGTCACAGTCATGAGAGCACTTCAGGCAGCTTCCATGGGCCACCCTCAGGTTAGTGCAGGTATCTGAGGAGGGGACAGAGGTGGCTGAGCTGGGAGGGGGGAGCATACACTGAGTGTCTTCCTTCTGATACTCTTATAGCTTTTACTTTAATTTTTAAAAAAATAGTCATTTTATGACTCTCAAGGAGTATCAAATCAGTGTTGACTGGGCCACCCAAGGGTGGGGAGAGAGGGCTGGAAGCCCTGGTCATGAGAAGGAAATGGGTGCTGGTGTGAAGATGACCACATAGAATATGTTTCTCAGGAGGTAGCGTAGTGGCTTTTGAAGGTAAAACTTTCTGAGTTTATCATGTTTTAATTTGAGGGGCAGTGGATGATGGATCACTACTTGCCTCTTCTAACCCCATGGGGATCCCAAAAGAATGCCTCCCATCCAAGGAGCTGGGGCTGACTTTGATTAGTTTTAGAGGGGCCTGCTTGGTTCCTGCTCACCTCACTCTTAGGTACTGGCCTCAAACATCTTTCCTCTTTGGGGTGTAGCCAAGTTTGTCTTGAACACAAGAGTCAATCTCAACTCTTGCCTTTGGCTTTCTATTCTGAGTGTGGGAAGGGAATCAGTGATATTGGCAATGACTGGTTGCTGTGTTACGGGTTTGAGTTGCATTGGCTATAAAACAATCTTGTTAGAAAAAAGTATATGTGGAATAGGAACAGAAGGGGCAGGAGAAGGCCTCACTCCCACACACCAAGAGGGATCTCTTTTGGTCTCTAATCTTGTTTGTGGGCATCCTATTGTTTATAATGCCAGAAGAGGGAGGTAGGATTGCCTTCAGATTGTATTAGGTTATTATTGGTAGCCAACTGCCACAGGCTCTGAAAATAAAAACAATCTTGAGCCCATGTTGTGCCTAGCTCTTTTTTTAATTTAATTTTGTTGTGCTTTTGGATCACGCTAGCAGTGCTCAGGTGATTTTGAGCGCCACCCAGGCCTATAGCAGTCATGCATGTCCTCAGCCTTTGCTGCTCTCTATCTAGCCCAATCTGCCTCATCGATGGATCTAAGGGAGCTGCTGCCCTGTACATTTCTAAATGTACTGAGGCTATTTCTAGTACCCTGTGTACTAGACCATTTCTAAGGCCTAGTGGCTGCACTCTCTTTAGCCCCCCCTAAATTTTCATCTAATGAAATGTATAAATTTTAACATTGGTCTCCAGTAGGCATTACTTATCAATTGCTTGCTTATATGGTGTGAAGACTTAGATGCTATCCAGGTTTACAAAGGTGTACATTAAACCTGAGTCTCCCTCCCTAGCACCTTATTTCTTCTAGATGTTTTTCCCTTTTGTTGATATTACCTGGGATCACATGCTTGATCTTCCTTCCCAGGAGTCATTTCATACTTGTGGTTGTATTCACTGGGGGTTGCGCACTTTAGTTGTTCTGTCTGATCACACTCATTTGAGTTCATACTCATTGAGCCTATTTTGCTTGTACACACAAGGGGTCACTATGGTACATTCTCCCAGAGGGTGGTACTCCTTGTGGCAGTGCTCACACACCTGGTAGCACCAAAGATTGTGCATAGACACACTGTTTCTCAGCTTCAGAGCTATGAGAATGTGATTGCATGTGGGAGGCACTACAGATTAAAATCATGGCTCTGTTTGCAAAGCAAGTCACTGACTAGGCCTCAAGATATTTTATATATATATATATACATATATATGTGTTTTTTGGGGGAATATCTCACGATACTTGAGATGCCTAGGGACCACCAGAGCTACACAGTACAGGGCTGAAATCAAACTTGGGTGTCTGAGGCATGTGTTCCAGATCTGAGCTAAAACCCTGGCTCCCCCCAGATGTTTTCAATCTTTCTAAAGACATTCAATCCCTACCATAATAGGTTTTTGTAAAAGTGCAGAATATGTATTCAGGCACTATTCAATTGCGTATGAAATCATTTTAGGGGGTGTTGGGCCATGCCTTTGCTCAAGGTTTCTGCCTCTGCTCAGATAATTTGTGATGCTGAGGGGATCATGTGTGGTGCCAGTGATCAAACCAAGATCAGACACTTGCAAGGCAAGTGCTTTGATGCAATATGTTCCCCAAAATAAAAGAAAATATGTGATTAATTAGACTGCATACACAGGTTTTACGTGAAAATCGTCAAATACCTACTTGTAATTAGGAACATGTTTACTTGTAGTGCTATCCTAGTCAGTGTTTCAGGTGCAAGGCAAGCACTTTATTGCTGAGCCACCTCCCCAGCCTCATATTTAGTTCGGGGGGTGAGGGGGGGGGGCGAAGAAAAGGCTGGAGGGTGAACCATGCCCACTGGTGCACAGGGGCTATTTGTAGTCACTCCTTGGGGAACCATATGTGGGATCAAACAGGTCAACTGCATGAGAGGCCAGTGCCTTAATTCTGTACTATCTCTCCAGACCCCCTCCAAACTTATTTTTTTTGCGGATGTGGTATAGGATGTGGGGTCACATCCAGCTATGCCCAGAACTTACTCTGCACTTGAATCACTCCTGGCTGGGCTTCTGAGACCCTTTGTAGTTCCTGGGCTAGAACCTGGATCAGTCAGGTGCACCCCACCCTCCGCCCCTGTAGTATAATTGGCCCAAGATAAGTAGAACTGTAGTACTGTCCTCCCCTTATTCATCAATTTGCTCGAGTGGGCACCAGTAACGTCTCACAACAAGTTGTGAGACTTGTTACTGTTTTTGACATATCGAATATGTCACAGGCAGCATGCCAGGCTTTTGTTGTGTGGGCAAGATACTCAGTAGCTTGCCGGGCTCTCTGAGAGGGACAGAGGAATCGAACCCGGGTTGGCTGCATGCAAGGCTTTGCCTACCTGCTGTGCTATCGCTCCAGCCCTATAAGTACATTTTTTTAATCAATGAGAAGGACCTCCTTCCTTGTCGTTACATAATAACTATGCACTCAGAATCCCTCAGGTCACTTAAAATTATTTTGAGCAGGTAATAACTCCAGATTATTAAGAAAGCCAACTGGTCTCCAGTCATTGTTCCCTAACTGACTTGCTAAAATAACCTTAATAAGACTTTTGTGTGTGTGTGTGTGTGTGTGTGTGTGTGTGTGTGTGAGAGAGAGAGAGAGAGAGAGAGAGAATTTAATAGTTCCTTGATTGGTGCCTATGAAAAGAAATTTGTGAAGGATGGAGAGCCAGGAGTGATCCCTGAGTACAGGGCCAGGAGTAAGCCCCACCAGCAAAAAAGAAAAAAAAATTAAAACTTTAGCCGAATTACTAGGATGTAACTCCAGCTTTATCCTACCTTCAGTGTATTTGCTCTAGTGACTTATGAAAGATTGTTCTAGAATGCACCCTGACCTATGAGAGTTATAAACTGTGAGAGAGAGAACACAAAGCAAATGTGGCAAAGTAATGAATTGGTTAAAGGATATAAGTGAGTTCTTTGTACTATCGCTGAGTTCTCTAAACACGAAATTATTTCCAAAGAACCTTTTTGAAAGCAGCGTTTGCCGTGCTGAGGACAGGGCAGGTTTCAGCAGTGACACTCCGGATGGGGATGAATGTGGGGTGCGCTAAAGAAATAGCCAGGCTGCTGCTATCTGCGGCCGGGTTCAAGCAGCCGAGTTGCAAAAAAGGGAGTGCGGAGGAGAGGTCCAGAGCTGGGGGCCCGATCCGCGGGAAGCTAAGGCGAGTGAGGACGCAGGTTCCGGGCCGGGAGAAAGTGGAGTCCCGGGGAGGGGAATGTCACTAACGACCTTGGCGAACAAAGGCAGTCCACGTGGGGCGAGGGCGGAGGAGCGTCCGGAGAGCGGCGGAAGCCCGGGCCGGGCCGGGGATCGCTTTGCGACTGCTCGGCGAGCCAGACGACTCTCAAGCCGTTAAAAACATCACCCTGCTCATCATCAAGCGATGGTCGTGTAAAGCTCAATCACGGACCCGCTGCTCTCATCCTCCGCCGGTTCTGGCTATCTACAGAGCCAGTTCCCAGCTTTTCCGCCCAAGCCCCGGGGCCCCTCCTGGCGCCTCCACCCACGGAGCCTTTGTTCTCCCCTGGTCCTGCGGGGCTTCCCAGCCCCGCCGCTGGGCTCGCCCAGTACGCCGCCAGATGGCGCTGGAACCATCCTCCTGCATCTTCCTGTCCGTTCTTTCTCTCCAGACCCGGTAACCGCGGAGAAGCCAGGGCCTCTGTAGGAGCCCCCTCACCCACCCAGGCTTCCAGCTGCGTTTCAGGGCACCCTGCCTGCCTTGAGTTCATGCAGGGTTATGGCAGTTCCTTGTTCAGGCTGTTATTCCCAGAGCTCTAGTGCAAGCAGATGCGTCAGATACTACAGAGCAAGAGCACCAAAAGGAAAAACAGAAATGGGCTGAGTACGGGATAGGTTCTATCTCTGTCTATAGCTATATATTTGGTTTTGGGGCCGTACTTGGCAATGCCTAGGGGTTCAGTGCTTGCTTGGCGTTGCATCTTATATGGTCCTCCAAGACTGCCAGGAGTGATTCCTGAATCCAGAAAGAGAAAGAAGCCCTGAGCACTGTAGGGTGTGACCTCAAATTTAAAAAGAGAAAGAAAACATGAGCTTTTCCAGAAGGGAGAGAGCCAAGAGTGAGTTACACCATATGATGAAAGAACTTACATATGTCAGGTTGAGATGTGGGAGACCCTGGTTGAGTTTCTATCTGCTTTGATGATTTTGGTGTATTTTAAATGACACAGAACAGGAT